GTGTTGCTCGTACTGTCACTGGCAGCACGGTGATGCTTGTGGGGATCTGGAGGGGCTTCTCGCCTCCCTGTCGGCTGTGACAGCGTCGAAGTTGATGTCGCCCCACCACAGCGCTGTCGTTGAGTGGCGTTGCTTGAGCGGCGAGAGACGAAGAACCCGCGAGGAGGAGGCGTTGAGCCTCTCGCGTTTGGCAAACTCGGAGTTTACCGAGGCAACTGGGGTGGTGGGTGGAGGGGCCCCAAGACACGCTGCAGTGGCGCTGGAGGGGCTTCGAAACGCCGTTCGTGAGCGAATGTTGAAGAGTGCGGGCAGTCTGTCTGAGTGGGTCCCCTTCGCTGCGCCACAGGGGGCGGGGATGGGGATGGCAACCGCGGTGCCGTGTGGAACAGTCACGGCGTCGCCTGAAGTGGGGGAAGGGGGTGAGAAGGGAGCGACGTTGTTTCGGAATAGCGCTGATGCCTTTGTAAGGGCGACGCAGCTGGAGCAGCATGGTTTTTTTTTCCAAGTAATGAGTTTTTTGGGGGTAACCATTGTGTGAATTCTGCGACAGCTCCATGTTTGCTTGTGAAAAGCACGCGCTTGCCGCTGTTGGCTATGGTGCTTCCTTCCATTCACGATGACAAGGAGAGGAGTGCTGTGGGGCGCTGCAGGGATACCTCAATTCCTGTGTTGATTAATGGCGTGCGGGGGGACCCTTCATTTAGGCGTGTTGAGGAGGTTCTTGATGCACCTGGTGGCAGTGAGGGTCGGTGCTGTCGGTTTGTTACGGTGCACCTGGCTGCTGCATTATATCTTCCAGTCCTTCAGCATCTACCCCGCCGTCAAGCATCCGATGAATCCCGGAGGTGGTTTATTTGGCGTAATTTCAGTGAAGAGACACTGTGCATTCGTCGGTTCACCGTGGAGAGGCAGGTGGGCGGCGACTTTGCTTCCTCTCTGGTGATTGCAGCGGGTGCTGAGGCTGGTGAGTGGGTAACCCTTCCTTCACGCCGTGGCAATTGCGCCTCGGCACAGGAGGCGTTTTCCGTCACTCTTTGCCGCAATGGCGGGGAAAGGGCAAACGTCATGGTTGGCTTCGTAGTGGAGGTGGTGACGATGCTTCCATCTTGGTGTGGCGAGGTGGCGGAGGAAACGGCTCTCGTTGAACCCTCGTCGTTGGTGAGAGAAGGGGGGGAGGCCATCAAGAAGTATCAGCATGTTGTGAAATACGGCTTGACAATTACATGGTAGGAACAGCGAGAACGAGGGGCGGTAGGTTGTTAGTTGATTTTTCAGGTACAGTTTTCGCCTTTTCGCTTTGTTGTTGTTTTTGTTTTCCCCGTGTGCTTCCGTATTGTTAGTCTTCGGGGGATGGTGAGGGTGTTGTTTGTTGTTGTTGTGCCTTCTGTGGTGGTGTCCGCCCCCGTTGTCTCTCTTCTTCTTTGTTGTTTTCTTTGTGCTTTGTTTATGTGTACCTTTTGTTTTTGGTCCGAGTGTTTTTTTTTGTTTGGGTTGTTGCTGCTGCAGAGGGGCAGCTGTGGGAGGAATGGAAGAGCAGCCCGTCTTCGTCATGTCCACGAGCGAGAGCGAGTGCGGAGACGACGACGACGGTGGCAAAGCAACGGGTGTGTGTGCGTTGGCGGTGGTGGCCCCGGAGGGGAGTTTCTCCCGGCATTCTGCTGCCGCAGCGAGGTCCATAGATGAGGTTCTCTTCGGCGATGGGAGTCACCGCCGCGCGGTGTCGCCAGGGTTGCGTGTGCAGGAAACGGATAGCGACACTGACTCCTCATGCGGCAGCAGCAGCAACAGGAGTGCGTTCATGGAAGAGGGCGTCGGGGAGGAGGCGGGACGGCTGAGCCGCAGTCCTGGCGTCGCGGGTGACAGGGTTGCGGTAGAGCCGTACGAGCACCCCATGAGTGCGGCGGCGTTGCGTGGGATGACATGCGCTGATGTGCGTGCTGTGCTGGAGCCCTTTTTTCAGCGTAAGGAGGCGGCGAGGATGCACTTTGATGCGGCGCAGCAACGAGTCGAGGAAGCGATAGGGGCGAAGATGAGTAGGGGGGACAAGAACCTGCTGGAACGCTGGAGGCGCCTAGTGAATATCTCCAACTGGGGCGATGGCAGTGTGTCAAGTAACGATGTCTTGCTTCCAGAAGTGCTCGTTCCCCCAGCTGCGACTAAGCTTGGCATCGCTGGCGCCTCCACAATAACGACTGTGGCCTCCGAGCTGCGGCAGCTGCGGCCACATCAAATAGATGGCATTCGCTTCTTGTGGAGTATTCTTGTGGAAGGGCCTGTCGGAAGAGTCCCTGCCGTTGGTTGCATTCTTGCCCACACCATGGGACTCGGCAAGACCTGCCAGGTGGTCGTTTTTCTGCATCTTTTCCTCAATGAGCAAAGACGGTGTGAAGCGCGGTCGCAGCGGGTGTTAATTGTAGTCCCAAAATCTACACGAGCGGCGTGGCTGAAGGAGTTCGCCGTCTGGTCACCGTATTTTCCCCTTGCCCAGCGCCTCACCCCAATCGCTATTGATGAGCGTGACAGTGCGAGGCGGCGGTCGGAGGTGTACGAGGGTTGGTGCAGCGAAGGTGGGGTGTTGCTTGTGGGGTACGAGATGCTGCTCGGCCTCACGAAGCTCTCGACGAAGGAAGTAAAGGGGAATAAAAAGGGATGCAGGTTGACGGATCTGCTCATATGCGATGAGGCTCATCGATTAAAGTCAACGCATCTGCAGATTTCGGCGGCACTCCGTGGGTTACACCCGCTGCGTCGGCTGCTTTTGACGGGTACGCCTCTGCAGAATCACCTGCAGGAGTATTGGGCCATGGTGGACTTTGCGCTTCACAAGTACTTTGAACGGCGACGATTTCAGGAATTCTTCATTAACCCAATTGAGGCCTCCGTCGCTCAAGAGGCCAGCCCGAGGGAGGTTGCCATGGCTCGTATGAAGACATTCGCTCTGATACGTGAGCTGCGACACTTTGTTCAGCGCGTGGATAGCACCCCACTACAGAAAGAGTTACCACCCCTGCATGAGTACGTGCTTGTTGTCCCGCTCTCCGCACTCCAGGCCCGCTTGTACAATCGCTTCCTGCAGCTGGTGCGTCTGGAGCGATACAAGTTTAACTTTCTCCAGGCGGTAACGTACGCCAACAAGATCTCCGCCCATCCGAAGTTACTTGAGGTAAATCCATGCTCACCAGTGCGAGGTATTCTACGAGGGCTGGAGGGCAACTCCGATGAGGAGGAGGAGGAGGGAGAAGAAGAGGAGGGTGGCAGTGCGGAGGAGAGGAATAGAGGGAGTTGTGGCTGGCGGCGCACGGCAGTCGCTGGAGCGCCGGTTAGTCAGAGGTATGCCGACCTCTTCCAGCTGCCGCCAAACTACACCGCGGCCCCTGAAGACGGTGCCAAGTTGTATATCGCCGTCCGGATCATCAAGGCGGCGATGCTGCGGGGTGAAAAGACGTTGTTCTTTAGCTTATCGACGAAACTACTTGATCTCTTTGAGGAAATTATTGCTGAGATGAATCGTCGATGGCAGCAAGATGGCTCCCTGTCACGTCCAATCAGCGTTTGCCACCTCGATGGGAGTAGCAGCGGGGCGCAGCGTGAGAGTACGCTGCGGTCCTACCACTCCGAACGCGGTGCAGACGTGCTGCTGCTTAGCATGAAGGCAGGCGGGGTGGGTATCACCATCACTGCCGCCACTCGTGTTATTCTCGCAGACAGCGGCTTCAACCCGGCAGATGACAGGCAAGCCATTGGACGTGCCTACCGCTACGGGCAGACACGACCCGTCTTTGTCTACCGGCTCGTGTGCTACCAGACGTTGGAGCATCGCCTGTTTCAGCAGAAGTTGGCAAAAGAATGGCTTTTTCGAACCATTGTCGAGGAGGCCTCGTTGAAGCGTGACGCTCTGGCCGGATTACGTCTGCAGTCTATGTTTCAGCTCCTCAGTCGTGCACGGGAGGTGGCAAACGGGGTGCCAACGTTGACCGATGGGCAGCGAAAGTCGACGGCGCGGCTGGTGGCGGAGGACGCAGTGCTAGCTGATGTAGCCGAACACATTATCTACGCCGAGGCGCACGAGGTCTACCTGCAGCATGACGAGCTGGTGCAGTACGGCGCAGAGGAGCGGGAGTTCTACGAGGAGTACCAGAAGAAAGGCGTCTTTAACGTTGACGGGGACGTAGGTGAGGTCGGCCTTGTGCGTGAGCAGGAGCAGCGCAAGCGGCAGCGCGAAGAACAGTGGGATAATGTGGAGGGACGGACGAAAACGCTAACGACGTTGGTTGACGATATCATCCGCGGCCGTGCGGAAGCTGACCCGCAGCTTCGCCACCTCCTGCGCATGATGGGTGTCACTGTGGATGCGTCGGGGGCGGTCTCCGTTGTGAGTGTGCGGGAGGCGCAACAGTCTCTCACAGGGGATGGGGAGAGTATAGGTGTAGGCGGCGATGACGGACATCGTCGTTTGACAGACACGAAGGCAGCACGCACAGAGACGGGTCCGCGTTTACTTCCCGTATTGTTAAAGGACTTGGACGACGAGGAAGATGAGTCTGTCCTCTTTTACGGGAAGGAGAGTGAAGACATCGGTGTGGTCATTGACCCGTCCAAATACGAGCCCTACAGGCCGGGTGGTAACGCCCAGCACGCTATCTTTGTCGACGAGGACGAGGTGTAGCCTCGTGCCCACAAACCTCCACCTATGGCACATATGTATATAAATAAGTTGTATGCAGGTGTGCACACACGGCAGCTATGCGGGTGGAGGCCTGCAGTGCCCATATTTCGACCTTGAAGGATCAGAAGGAAGTACGGCCTACATACGAAGAAAGAGCAAAGAGAAAACAAAGAAGAATAATAATATATAGACAGACATGAAGCGGGATGCGGCGCTTGTTCCCACGCCGTCTCCCTTTCTCTCTCTCCTCCTCCCTTTTCATGTGTTTGTGTTTAAAGTTTTTGGAGTTTTATGAAGGGAACGTATAAGTTGCATATTTGCTTGTCTGTGTAGATGTGCGTATAATTTTATGCGAGTAATTCAAAAGCGTAGTGTTTTAAAATGTACGCGTTTCTCTCTATTTATTACTCTTTTAAACACACGCAGAGTGGCGCTGCTTGGTTGTTCCTCTGTAATTCATGCGCGTCTGTGAGGTTAGTGTGCAGGGATCACTGTTGCTGTCACCTATATTTTTGTTGCTGCTTCCTTGCTGGGGGGGGGGGGGGGGAGGCACGGAGTGCGGAGCGCTCGTAGCGACTGTGGACCATCACTTTCACGGGAGGAGCGCGAGAGTTGATAGAGCTGTTGAGGTGGAAAAGAATAGACTCCACACAGGAGAACATTAAGTAGAGGCGTGAACGGGGGAAGAAGGGGACGGAAGGTGGTACAAACTGGTAGATACATATTAGTAAAGGCGGATGACACACGCTGAGCGTCTCAAAGCGTCTTCACCACCCTCCTCGCATGATGGCGACAGCCTGCACGAATGCTTCTCGTTGGCTCCACCGATGGTGGCCTGCCTGGTGCGCCACATCGACCGTGCATTGGGGGCGGTGACCACCCCGCCTGCTGTCGAGCGTTGCGTTGTGGAGCTACAGGCCTTCTTTCAGCCCTACATTGCCGCCAGCCGGGTGGTGGAAAACTGCATCCCCGGAAGCAAACTGCGGCTGCAATTTGGCAAGGCGATGGATATCAACACCGGTGCCAGCTCTTCGCTGCTCAATGTGTACATCCTCGCCGTAGACCAGTCGTACTCGCGCCCCCGTCTGCTAACGCACGTTGCGAGGCGGTGGCGCGCGCTCTTAGAAGGCGTAGGTCAGGAAGGACATGCTTTGGTGATGTTGTATCATCAGGACCTCGTCAACGCGGCAAGCTTCAGCGCCCACAGAGCCTCAGGAGTCGCGGCTGACGCCGATGGGACGAAGCGACCGGACCAACTGAAGGCGGACGCCGCCGTGGCGGCGTTGGAGCCGTACTTTGAGGAGCTTAAGGCACTTCGGTTTGCGCCGCATCAGATGTGTGCGTACCTTCCGAACGAGGCTCCTATCCGCGTCCTGGAACGACTGCGAGCGGCGTTTGTGGAGCGGACCACGCGGCTCACGGCGGCGTTTGATGGCTACCAGCAGCGCCACCTGCACCCCGCACGCACCGACAGCAACATCAGTGGTCACGGCATCTGCGTCACAGCGGCGACGGTGGATGTGTGGAACCTGCACGAGTGTTGGCGACGCGGATATGACTTAGCGAGGCACCTCTTGCAGCTTGGTGTGGTCAAGGAGGCCAGGAAGGTGTTTGCAAGAATGTTTTGCCTGTACTATTACCACTCCGAGGACTACGGCTTTGTTAAGAGTAAGGCGACCCTCACGCGGTTGGGGAAGTTTTCCAACTTATTTGACCCTAAAGCATTTTCTGCTGGTCGTAATGGCTACCCGTCGGTGCTGTTAGACGATGCGGAGATGTTGGAGGGGCTCCTCTTCATCGTGGCGTGTGAAATGTGGTGTGCGCTGCAGCTTGGACTTCGCAATACCGCCTTCGCGCGGTACAAGGAGTTTCTGCATGTGGCACGGGAGAAGTTTACGGAGGAGACAAACTCGAAAGTCACAGACACGTGGGAGCTCATCTTCCTGCTTCGCTGCACCCTCTCTGCGATGCGGCTCAACTGGTACGTTGCCAGGCCGGAAATTAGTGGAAGTGACACGGTATTGTCGCCCAGTCCGCGGAAGGCTGCCCCGCACCACCACCACCACATCTATCAGGAAGAGGAGGAGGAGGTGTGCCCGCCAAAACCGCGTTGGCTCAGTCAGGAGCGCTCTGACGTTTTATCCGTCCCTCTGATGAACGAATGGGACATCGCCGCAACGTCGCCCAACCTGGACGCTAGCTTGTCGTCCTTCACTGTGGATGCTGGGGAGGAGGCAAAGGCTCAACGAAGTGCGGACGAAGGTGGAGGAACGATAGCTGAGGAAGCTTCAATGAATGTCACACGTATGGCAATGACAGAGCGACTGTTGGCGTTGTGCCACACTCTTCAGGTGGATTGGTGCTCTGAGTCGCGCTGGATGTGTCAACTGCTCGCCAAACTCGCTACGGCTGCGTTGGAGTATCTTACGGATCTTGCAGCCATCATTGGCTATCGCGAAACGGGCGAGGTGATTGCCCCATTACCGTCTACGTCGCCACCGCCGGCAGTCTCCGAATTTGGGATGCCAGAGCTCGCCTCAGCTGCAGCCTTTGCATCGTTTTACCGCACACTTACGGAGACGGCTGCGATTGGGCATTTTCTACTGGGCGACCGCCACCTTGAGCACGCCCTGTACTACAGGTGTGCACTCTCGCACCGCATTGAGAACCCCGCCGTTACGGCCGAGCTATGTCGGGAGCGTCTTATTCCATTTTGCCTGCATCACGGCTGGCTGCAGCTTCAGACTGCGGTGCATTGCCTGTTTGTGGAATCCATGGATCGCGTCATGCAGCAGCGCGAAGCACTAAGCCAGTCGCCGCTAAACTGCGAGGAGGCGGCGGGGTTGAAGGAGTCAATTTTGTATATTATTGGCGCTCTTCACGAGCGTGGGGCGTTGCTGCAAGAAATTCAGGTTCTTTGTGGGAGGCGGTCCCCGGAAGAGTGGTGGCGGCGCCTGAAGCAGGTCGATAGCAAATGGAAGAACTGCAATGAAGCGAAGGATGAAGCAAGTTATAGTATCTCGCGGTTATTGAGAGATCCCCATGCCTTCTGCTTGTACTCTGACTCTCTGCTGGAGGCGGCAACACAAAGTCCGGACGAAATAACCTCCGCAGCGACGATGGCAACAACGGGGGAGGTGGAGTCTGTGCCTGCGTCCCTAGGCATGCGAGGAACACTTGGTGAAACGGTTTTGGTGTACTTTACTGCCACCTGCCTTGTGGACATTTTGGGCCTTGAGACAGACGAGGAACAGGAAGGGTGCCGCCTCACACCTACAGCGGTGCTTGCGTCAAAGAAGGATTGGGTGGACGCGGAGGAGCCGATGCATATTGTGGATGTCACCAAAGTTGTGTCTTCCTCCTACAACGCAGAGAAGGGATGGCTTCAGTGGGCGTGGGAGTTTCGGCCATGTCGAGCCGGGGAGTACTACCTGCTTTATATCACGCTGCGTGTGGGTGCGACAACGCTGGTGTACCTGCATGACCAATCGGTAACGTTATCGGGTGGTGGCCTTAACACCGCCGCCACCGCCGCCGCGGATGACGTCTCTAGTAGTGTTGAGGCAACGCCGCGGTGCTTGCTTTCTGTGCCTGAGCCAGACATTGGCATCAAACTGTTCGTGCTGCCGCCTGATGAGTCCCACTGCTTCGGCGACACACTCAATTTCTTTAAAGTTTACGTGGAGGTGGAGCAGCCACTGGAGCCTCCGCGGAATACCACAACCGTCGCTTCAGTGTCCTCCGCTGCCTTAGCGAGAGAGGAGGCCGGGGGTTGCAGGAGTTGCCTCTTTGAGATGGCCATCCCACCGGGCTCAGTTACTGCCACGATGACGACCGCACTACATTCCTCGGGTCAGTGGGATTCAAAGCATCCTTTTGTGTCAGAAGCAACACAGGCGCCAGATCCCAGTACGTTGGCACTTATTTGCGTCAATCGCCCCAGGCGGCACACGGGGTCTCGCACACCCGCCACTGTCAGCGCGCCGACACTGAAAAATGTGAAGGAGGGGACGCTACTGTACGATACGGCGGCATCCCGCCACACTGAGGTTGATCCCGTCGCCAACTCCGTGTTGGGTAGTTCGAAGCTGAACCCGTTCCATTTTGCCGTCTCCATTGCCGATGAAAAGACAGGTGCCTCAACTGATGTTCCCGTGAATGAAGACTTTATCATGTCCCACCTTCCACCGCTGCTCCGCAGTAGTGGCGGCAAGGGCTCCGTCTCTGATGAGGCTGGCACGGGAGAACGAGTTGCGTCTATGCATCTGGAAGGCAGTATTGTAACAAACCCACGACAGCAATGTTGTTTTAGAATATGCCTTGACAACAGCGAGCAGCAAGAGGGGGCTGAAGGGGGAGACGCGAATCTTGGCAAAGTGTTGGAGGCGACCCGTCTTGAGTGTCAGCTGCCTGTGCTACCCATATTTATGTCCAGCACCGATGACTGTGCGCAGGTGTCACTTTGCTGTCAGCGTAACATGGAGTCAAGCACCACAAGTATGCTTGTGCCCTTTCGCTTTGCTCAGGCCTTTACGGTTACATACGTCTTTAAATGCGTTCAAAGCCGCGTCTATTGTCTTGTGCGGGTGGAAAACGTGCTTAGGAAGACCTCACTCTGGATGCGTGGTGCGTTGCTTGAGCTGCTAGACACGGAGGGCTATTACAAACTCACTCGGGTCTCCTCCACGCACGAGCGCCTCATGTTGCGTGAGTGGAAACCGCATGAGACGATGCATCTGTTCTTTGAACTCACCTCTTTTTCTGAGCCATGTTCCCGTGAGAAGGAGGTTTGTCATCGTGTGCGACTACAATTGATGTACTCCAATTGGTCGCTGGCGTCCGGGATGATGCCGATGGAGGCGCACATTCTGCGCCCAATTTCCGTCAGTTCAGCACCCTCCTCTTATGTCACTACCCCGGAGAGAATTTCGTTGGCTGCCGTGGCGTCTGTGGATGCGAGCGCCGACGGAGCGTCGGAGATGCGCCAACCGTACGCAGGGAGACACTCAGTCTGCAGTAGTGCCCTGGAACGATCAATCTGTTTTGCCAAGCAGCCACAATTCTGCTTCAACTCTGTACAGTTGGAGAATTTGCGGGCAACCTGTAATACGTTTCATGCTCCTGTAGGGACTTTTACGTCGAAGCACTCTTGTTTGTTTAATGTCATTATTTTTGTGGATCCGAAGCATCTTCCAGAGCTCGCTGAGAACCAGCAGGGGTTGGCAGCAGCCGCAACCAGCAAAGCACCCTCCTTGTCAGCAGACCTCATTGAGATGATTTGCAAGGATTCCTTGGAGGGCGCTCCAACCCCTATTGGGGCCTCGCCAGTGGATCTTCCGGGCGGCTCTGTCTTTCCTGTTGGCGAACCCATTCGCTTCTCGGTGGCGTTGGAGCCACTTGCACACAACTGGCCAGAGACATGTGTCGGTGAGGAGGAGTTTTTGATTACCTTTAAGGCCGACCCCGCGGCGTGGCTGGTGATCGGGAAGCAACGACTCCGCCGCGTGCTTTCCATGATGGAGGACGAGACGTTGTACTTCACGGCAGTGCCCGCACCTACGCCCCTGGGCACCTCCGCCGAACGCGAGGCGGGCCGTCTGACGCAGGAGCGAGACGACGACCAACCGGAGCTGCATGTGCAGCAGCGAGTTTCAATTGTTGCAACACCCACCGTTGAGATTCATTGGGTCTCACGCGGGGACACGAGCGGAGAGGGGACGCTCGTGGAGGACACCACCGTGGCCATTGACGTGGTGCAGTTCCGCACCTCGATGCGCATCCGGCACTGAGGGTGGCAGTAGCGGTGGCGGCTGGAAATGCGGATCTGGATCGGACGCAGTGAATGGCAGAACGAAGACGCGAGGATTTGCCACCCCCGTCTCAGCACCGGTGGCAATGGACGAAACAGTAAACAGAAGAAAAAAAAAAGCAGCAGCAAGGACGACTGACTGCATTGCTGCTGGTGGTAGTGGTGTGTGTGCGTGTCTGTGTCTGGGGCACCTTTGTTTGCTCTCTCTTCTCTTACTAGCGTAGTCATGATTCGCGGTTGCCTCGTGCTCCGCGTGACGGTGCACTCCCCGCGTGGGTTGCAGTTCCAGCTTGGTGCCGACGACGCTGTTGCGCGGATTCGGCAGAAGTACGGTGGTCGCTGGTTTGGTGCCTCAAAGGAGTTACTGCGTCTTGGTGTCCCCTCAGCCGAGTTTCTTCCCTTCTACTATTGCCAGGGAAGTGTTCAGGGCACCTTCCGCGGCACCGTGAGCTACAGCGATAGTGTGACCGACTCGAATGGTCACCTAAAACGCAGTTCTCGTCAAACGACTACGGCGCCGCAGTCGTTGAACACCGTCTTTGGTCCAAACCAGACACAGATATACGCCGGGTATAAGTACAACATCCGCCATGTACACACTGCGCTGCGCAATGAGGCGAACCCGCTTCACCTGCACAAGATGAGTATGGTGAATGCAACTAACGCCACGATTAACCTCTTTGAGCAGTCCACCGCGACACTGAAGGTGTTTGTAGACGAGGAGGTGCAGCGACAGGCGCAAGAGACAGCACGGGCGATGGTTCGTTCCTACCACCCAGGGGCTTCTACGATAGGCGTAGACTTTAGTGAGTTGCATATTCGATTAGAGGAGGTCACTCCCGTCTTTGTTCCGTGTTACGTGGTGAAGGTGCAGTACGACGCACAGGAGTACACCTTGTACGTGAGTGGCACCAACGGCACAGTCGGTGGTCCTTTTCTACTCAACGCGCTCTACTTTGCCCGGCTCGCCACACTGAGTGTGGCAGGACTATTTCTGCTACTGTGGCCCAACAGGGTGACCGGCCTGGCGCTGGTCTCCCTGCTGTCGGTACCGGTGTACTACCTCGCCTTCTACGTTGGAAAGATGTTTCCTTCACACCGTCGTGATTACTACCGGTGGCAGCGGCAGAGACTTCGCATGCAGCACGAGGAAAAGGACCGCGGCGGCTTCCGCCCACACGTGTCGTCTAAGCGCATCGAGGAGGAATACCGGCGGTCCTCGTACTGGGACACGCATGCGTTTCAGCAGCGGCAAGAGTATTATGGTCCCGTGAGGGATGCGCGCGGCTATTACGCAGCGCTGGGTCTTACCGGGGCAGAGTCCGTGAATGAGATTCGCTCAGCGTACCGTAAACTTGTGCTCACAGAGCACCCCGATGCCGGTGGTTCGACGGAGCGTATGGCAAGGTTGAACGAGGCCTACCGCGTCTTGCGTGACCCGGAGAGGCGGGAGGCGTACGACAAGGGCATGTAAGACTGCGTTGATGTGGAAGACACAGCACAGTGAAGCACGCCCGCCCGCCCGCCCTACGAAGGGGCTGTGTTGGTGGGGGGAGAGGGAGGAGGTGATGGTCTGTGTTTTATTCGTGTTGTTTTGTTTTTGTAAAGGAAAAGAGCGTGGGAGGGTGATGTGTTTCTTTGTGTTGGGCGCATTCGTTGGATGTTGTTGCTTGAGATTCCTGTGGCGGTGGTGGTATTACATGTCTCCACCCACTGCGGTGGCTGTGCGCTTGTCTCTACGTCAATGGTGTTTACAGCGGTGTGTACATGGCTCGCCCGCACCCCATACAGACAGACAGACAGACACATACACGCAAACATGTGCACAACTGGGCTGCTTCCCTTTTATGTTGTCTGTTGTTCCTTCTCTCACTCTCTTTCTTTCTCTCACACACAAATGCACACACGGAAGAAGAAAAAGAGAATATAAACCCCTTTTATCAACCTTCATTAAGGTGCAAATACAACAACAACAAAAAAAAAAGGTTGTGTTTTCTGTACCCTGTGTTTGCATCGCGAGGGAGTCTGATTTGTATCGGTGTTATTTTTTCCTCTGTTATACGCTCCTTTTCCTTCCCTAGGCACAGTGGCTGGAAGTGGCGGGGTGAGGATGTCCTGGGCGCGCAAGGCGGGAAACGTGTGGGATGTTACACTCTCCGAGTGGCAGCTGAGCTGGCAGGAGCTGCGCAGTTCGAAGCTTACAGGTAGTCTTTTATTTGCCATTATTTGTGTGTTGACAGTGATCGTAGGCAATGTTGTTCTGCTCATTGCGGTGAACTTCTGGCTTTCCATCTTTCCTGTGAATGAAGATACCCCCGACGCCAGCCAGATTACTGTCCAGGTGATTGTCTGCTGCCTTCTCGCTATATGCTTTTCCGTGTTTGGGGCAGTGTTTATTGTGGTGTACGGCGTCCGTCCACTGTGGCGTGCGCTGGTCGACACGGACCGTGTTCGTGGCCCGCTGTATCGTCTACTGCTGTTGTTTTTTTCGGGCGCCGCCAACGCTATGACAGGCGTTTTGTTCATCCACGCCATGCCATACATCCCTGAATTTGTGCAGGCGGTTCTGTTGAGTGCGATTCCCTTCTGTACACAGCTTTGGACCTACCTGCTGATACCGCCAGAACGTAAACGGCGCTATTTCTCCCTCACCTTCATTGGCTCATTTATCCTCTTTGTGGCGGGTGTACTTCTGTCCTCCATGTCCTCCTTCTTGGATACCTCAAAGACGGGGCGCGCGGCACCGTGGGACTGGAGTCTCATCTACCTTGCGAGTGCCGTGGTCTTTGGCCTGTGGTGCGTCCTACAGCGTCTCTATCTTGACGCCATGATGTTCCGCAGCGCGGTGAATGGGTCAGTAAGGCAGGAAACCACCCCGAGCTTGGGTGGCGCAAACATTGAAAGGGTACCAACTGAACCGTCTGATGCATGCAGGGGAACAACGGCCGTTGGAATTGGCAGCCAAGCTGACACGAATGCGATGTTCCCACCCAGTGCGGCACCTGCAACGCCCCACCAAGACAATATCCAGGACGAAGCAGGGGACTTAGTCTGTGACGCGCTCTTGGTTGCCCACCGCGAGTGGGGGAAACAGGACGAAAACGACCTTGCCGCCAAGACAGTGCTACTTCTGGTTGGTATGGCCTTCCAGACGGTGGTGTCGCTGGCCTGCGTGCCGATGGACGTTATTCCCTGGTTTGGCAAGGCTTCCAACGCCAGTGAGGCCTGGGCCGGGTTCGTCGCGTCCTGCAATTTCATTTTTTCTGGATGGTACAATATACGCTATGGATTGTTACACACGCTCGGTATGCTGATGAGCTTTGTTGGCTGTGCGTACCTCAACGAGCGCTCCCCCACCCTTGCGTCAGTGGTCTTGCAACTTTCTGGTCCCCTAACAGGTCTGGTGCTCGTTATTGCGCCTAAGTGGGATGTGTACGGCGAGCACGGGGTTCTTTGGCACAAGATCGGTGGTGTCATCATGCTGATTGTTGCTGGATTAATGTATCATGTGTGGGACCAGGCCTCCCTGAGGGAGCTGGTGAACAAACACCAGGTGTAGCCGCCACACGAAACGCGTGCTGAGGACAAGGCAGGAACTCCTTTTGGCGGCTCTGTCGGGGGCAGGTGCTTTGTACGCAGATATATTAGAGAAAAAATACATAAATAAAATGGGAAAAAAAAAAACTGGGTGTCCAGGCGAGAAGGACGCAATATTCTTTTCCATATTGATTTATATAATATATAAATAGGAAGAAGTGAAAAGGGATAGGAACAGAAATTGAAAATAATAAGGCAAAGAACACAATTATGAGGGACTCTATGGGTATTGGTACTAACTTGCTTACTGTTTTTTTTTTTTTTTTTTTAAGAAGAAGAAAAAAAAGGTGTCTTTTTTTTTTTTTTTTTAAAGTATACTTTTATAAGTTTCCTCATGGGTTTGTATGCGTATTAGCAGCCGATGGGATAATGGCTTGCCCGGGTGGGAGCTAAGGGGGGAGATAGCGCGTTCTGTTTGGCTGTTATTTTTGTTTTTTGTTTGCTTTTTTTTTTGCTTTTGGGTTTATGCGTTTTTGAAGTACAACATGTTGGGAAGAAACAGGCACTGTTTGTGCTGTTTTTCTGCCGACCCACCCAACGAGTTGCCACCACCCATCATGAGGTGTGCGGTGACTGCAGGGCCCCAAAGACTGCTTCTACAGCTGCTTGCGTTCGCTACAAGAGACCAGTTGTCGTAGAATGTGCCTGCCGAACTCATATCGTTTGCATTGCGTATGTGTGAGCGTGCAGTAGAATGCCCATCATAATTCAAATGCTGGGCGCAGTGAACAAAAGTGCATGTTTTTTCTTTGTCTTTTTTTCCCGTCGCTTCACGGTGCGGGCTTCGGAGGGACGCAGAGCCCAAGCAGGAGGCATTTTGCAGTGGCATTTGAGCTGTACGAAGGTGTTGTTTTTATTGGTTTTTATTTTGCGTGTTTTTGTTTTAGTTTGTCCGTCTGTCGGGAGAGGAGAAGCGAGCCTCGGAGGCACCGACACATCCACCCAGGCCTCTCCGCCTCGCGCGGTGAGGGAGGGAGGAGCGGAGCAGGGACAAGACCGCAGAGCGTCGCATTGGGAATTTCTTCTTAGTGTTGCCGCTGTTTGATTTCATTCTACACCACCGCCCTTTGGGCGTTATGATATCATCTTACATATATATACGGCGACTAACCTCCCTATGGGATCTGAGAAACTAAAGGAGAGAGTTCGACAACACAAAAACTAAAAAGAAGAAGGAGTATATATATGCGTGCGTGCGTGCGTATGTAGTGCAATACGGATATATACATGGCCTACGCGTATGTGTGTGTTTTGGTTTTCCAGTCTGTTTCGTGTCACTCATTTTGGCCTGCCTTTTTTTTTTTTGCGTTCTCTCTTAATTGACACACACACACAACAAAAAAAAAATGTATACTACAAGCAACACCAAATGCAGGCACGGCGACGGCCACGTGACGCCCCCTTCGTCGCGCCAGGAAGTAAGGCTGCGACTGGGGACGACGGCATTATGGGCGTGCATGCTGCGATGACCGTGGAGGGTCCTTCCACTGACGCAACAGAAACACAAGTGACAGGCAGTGATGAGGTGGAGTTGGCGTACGGTAGTGACTTTTATCTCCAGGATGAGTATTTGCAGCGGCTGCGTCAGCGGCGTCATCGTCCAGAGGCTCTAGTGGAGGAGAGCGACGATGAAGAGGGTGATGGCAAAGGGGTCACCTCCAAAGGGGCACAGTTGCAGGAGGCGGATCTCGCGGTGAACACGAGGCATCAGCCGCTCTTTTTTTGTCTTGGGAAGGACTTTCCGCCGGTGATGCCCGCGGCAACGCCTGACGGGGGTGGCGAGGCAGCGGCGGCGGACGGCGTCCTGAGCGCCCTCTCCGCGCAGGAAGGCAAGTCGCAGATTATATTGCCCGTTGTGAGTACCACGTGTCAGCTGGCGCAGAGTGCCACAAAAGGCAGTGCGGCGCTGACATTGCTGCGGCGGCAGCAGGAGGTGGAGCGCGCCACACGGGAGGCGACGGACACAAGCCGGTCCGACCTTGCGCGCCTTCTGCAGAAGGGCGAGCTGGGGCAGCAGCAACCGGGTGCCGTCGGCTGCTCGCCAAGGGAGGGGGCTGCGGAGGAGCTGACCGAAGATGAGACGGAGATGTTGCGGCGAAAGGTGCGCAAAGAGACGGCGAGGCTTGAGCGCATGATGGAAGCCCCCTCCTTCAACACAGCGGTTGCGGCTGCCAGAGACATGGATGAGGATGAAAAGGAGGAGCGCTCTCGTCGGCATGAAATGGTGCTGCGAAAGCGGCAAGAGAAGTTAGAGCGTGTGCAGGAGGCCAGGGAACGTTTGGCGGAGGAAAGCAGTCACATCGAGGATTATGGCGCTAGGCGGGTGGCGCTGATGGCCATGCAACGCCAGTTGCCCATTTATCTCTGTAAGGAGGAGCTGCTTCGCTGCATTGGCGAGAACCCTGTCTCGATCGTCATTGGTGAGACGGGTAGTGGGAAGACGACGCAACTTGTACAGTACTTGCACAAACGTGGGTACACCAGGGGTGGCAGGATTATCGGTTGTACGCAGCCCAGACGCCTTGCTGCCATTGGGGTGGCACGCCGTGTGAGCGAGGAGATGGGCTGCGCCTTGGGCACACGCGTTGGGTACGCCATTCATCTTGACGACAACACGACCGAGGAGACGGAGGTAAAGTTTATGACCGACGGTGTGCTGCTCCGCGAGGTGGTGCGCGACCCTGACGTTGGAAGGTACAGTGTCATTGTGCTGGATGAGGCGCATGAGCGGTCGGTTAACACAGACGTTCTGCTCGGTGTGTTGCAGGCCGCCGTGCGTCGCCGCTCAGACCTCAAACTTGTTGTCACCTCCGCCACGATGGACATTCTGAAGTTCTCAAAGTTTTTCGGGAATGCCCCGTTCTACGAGATTCCTGGCCAGACCTATGATGTCGGCATTCAATACGCCGCGGCCCCAGTAGAAGACTACGTGACGGAGGCGGTCTTCCGCGTCTGTCAACTGCACATACAGATGCCGCTGGAGGGAAAGCACGACATTCTTGTCTTTATGACCGGCCGCGATGATGTGATGGGGACTTGTGAATTAATCCGACGACGTTTGAGCGAAGTGGACCCAAAATGGCTTGAGACGCTGTTGGTGCTGCCGTGCCTCTCGGAGGCGGTGAGCGTGACGGCGAGTGGCGTTCTTGACGCCGCCCCGCCAGGAATACGCAAGTGCGTTGTGGCCACCAACGTGGCTGAGACCTCACTGACCATAGACGGTATCCGCTACGTTATTGACTGTGGGTTTATGAAGACAAATGTGTTTCGGCCGAAACTGGGGATGAACACACTCCAGCGGTACCCCGTCTCTCAGGCGCAGGCGAATCAACGCAAGGGTCGTGCTGGGCGCACAACGGAGGGGTTGTGCTTTCGTCTATACACCGAGGCCCAGTTTTCGGAGGAGATGCTCCCCAGCAGTGTACCGGAAATACAGCGCAGCAGCATTGACACTGTGGTGTTGTTGCTAAAAAGCATTGGGGTCTCGCGTCTTGTGGACTTTGACTTTATGGACCCTCCACCAGCAGCAAACATCTGCCGCAGCATGTGGCAGTTGTGGGTGCTGGGGCTCCTTGACGACAGTGGCGCCATCACGGCCGAGGGAAGACAGGTCTTGGAGTTTCCGCTCGCGCCGACGCTCGCGAAGGTACTTGTGGAGAGTGCAGCACAAGGTTGTGGCGTTGAGGCGGTGCGCATTGTGGCGATGATCTCGGCGGACCCCAAGGAACTGTTTGAGTTACCGAAGGACCGTGAGGAAGTGGCGCGCCAGCACCACGGCCGCTTTTATGTCAACGAATCGGATCACCTGACATTGCTTAACGTCATCACGCACTTCCTCGAAAGCGGCAACTCCCGTCAGTGGGCGAAGGATCACTTTCTACATGTCCCCACACTTTTGCGTGCCTGTGAGACGCAGCGGCAGTTGCTGGAGCGAATGCGGCAGCTTAAGCTTCCCGTCGTCTCCTGTGGCCCCAAGGGTCTGGACCGTGTGCGGCAGTGTATAACGAATGGATTCTGCCTGCAGTCCGCACAACGTTCAAGCACTAACTGGAACGAGTACCGTCCGCTGCTTAACTCTGGCGTCGTGTGTTGCGTTCATCCGTCCTCGGCGGTGTACGTACGGGCGGAGATGCCACTTTACGTCATCTACCACGATCTGCTCCTTACCACGCGCGAGTATCTCGTGGTGGTGACGGCAGTAGAGCGGGAGTGGCTTCTTGAAGCATCACATGGGGTGTTCTACAGCAAAAGTCTGACAAACAACTCACATAAACCATTGACTGCACCCGCCGTGTCCGAACTGCCGCATACAACGGCCTCCTCAGGAGGCAGGACCACACAAGTGGAAGGATTGCGACAGTTGACACCTGGCAGCCTCCACCCGAAGAAGGCGCTGCCTCCTTTGCGGCGACGGCATAATGTGTGAGCGGAAGTTTTTCTGGACTCTTCATTTTTTATTTTATTTTGTTGTTGCGTTTTGGTGGGGGGCTTTCGTGCAGCATACCGTGTCCACGTGTTTGTAGTTTCTCTGTGACGTTGCACACTGTGTACCTCCTCCTCTCCCTTCCTCGCCCTTGCACTGCCCTCCGCTAGTGGGTAGGGCGTGCGTAGATAAGGATCGGCTGGCAGTGGTGGCGTGGGAAGCGCGTCACCAGCATCCAGCAGCCGCTGCACAGTCACAGCGGCCACCGCATCATCCTGATTGAATTCACAGAGAAGGTCCGATGAATATTTTTGGGAGTCTTTTCCGTCCCTCGCATGAGGACTGCTTGAGGCGACTGTTTGACTACCCCGTGTTTATTTGGCA